ATGGAATGGAATGGAATGGAATGGAATGGAATAGAATAGAATAGAAGAATAGAATAGAATAGAATAGAATAGAATAGAATAGAATAGAATAGAATAATAATAATAGAATAGAATAGAATAGAATAATAGAGTAGAAGAACAGAATAGAATAGAAAGAATAGAATAGAATAGAATAGAAGAACAGAATAGAGTAGTAGAATAATAATAATAATAATAATAATAATAATAATAATAATAATAATAATAATAATAATAATAATAATAATAGAATAGAATAGAATAGAATAGAATAGAATAGAATAATAGAGTAGAAGAACAGAATAGAATAGAATAGAATAGAATAGAATAGAATAGAATAACAGAGTTGTCAGGGACCTTGGAGGTCATCTAGTCCAACCCCCTGCTCAGCCCTATACCACTGGTTGTCCAATCTCTTCTTAAAAGCTTCCAGTGTTGGAGCATTCACAACTTCTGGATGCAAGTTTTTCCGCTGATTAATTGTTCTAACTGTCAGAAAAATCGTTTGATGTTGGAGGTGGGAATAAAAACTGAAGTGATCTGGGCGTTGGTGAAGATCAGGAAGAGGGAAAGAGGAAATGTTGAGTAGGGATGTAGGTGAGAAGTCCTCCGTGCTACTGAATGTATAGACTAATTGTGGCACCTTGGATCCACTGAGATGTTTTAAGGCTGATTCAATCTCTTCCCACTCTCTATCAAAGCCCTTTGGCTGACTTATTTCAGTGACAATTCAGTCTATGGAGATTCTCAGCCATCCAGGTCACTGTTGTCCCAAAGGTGCTTTTTTCAAAAGCCAACCTAGACTTTGTTTTTTCCTTGAAGGCGTTTCGCTTCTCATCCAAGAAGCTTCTTCAGCTCTGTTCAGTTCAGTTCTTCATGAACTGAAGAAGCTTCTTGGATGAGAAGCGAAACGTCTTCAAGGAAAAAAACAAAGTCCAGGTGGGCTTTTGAAAAAAGCATCTTTGGGATGACAATTCAGCCGTGTTCTGAAGTCCCTGTTCTTCGTTTTAGATTCTCTGATGAATTGAGAGGTTTACCTCTTAAATCATCTCCTTTTGGGGGGAACCTTTTAAGCACTGGACAGCTGAGTTCATCTTAATAATAATAATATTATTTAATAATAATAATAATAATAAAGTTGGAAGGGACCTTGGAGGTCATCTAGTCCAACCCCCCGCTCAGGCAGGAAACCCTATACCATTTCGGACAAATGGCTGTCCAGTCTCTTCTTAAAAACTTCCAGTGTTGGAGCATTCACCGCTTCTGGAGGCAGGTTGTTCCACTGGTTAATTGTTCTAACTGTCAGGAAGTTTCTCCTTAGTTCTAGGTTGCTTCTCTCCTTGATTAGTTTCCATCCGTTGCTTCTTGTCCTACCTTCAGGCGCTTTGGAAAATAGCTTGACTCCCTCTTCTTTGGGGCAGCCCCTCAGATACTGGAAGACTGCTATCCTGTCCCCCCTCGTCCTTCTCTTCATTAAACTAGACAGATCCAATTCCAGCAACCGTTCCTTATATGTTTTAGCCTCCAGTCCCCTACAGACTGGAGCAGAACCTCTGTAGAGTGATCTTTTCATAATTAAACGTGGGCTTTAATTGGGAGGCCCTGTTGAGATAGGCTTCCATCCCAAACAAATGTTTAATTCCAAAGCCGTTCCCCAACCCAGGACCTTAATAGGCATTTATAGACTATATCATGTGACTATTCTCCTCTGTAAGAAAGATTTCCCAGACTAATCTGAAAAATTCACTGCCCTCAAAATTAGTCACTTGGAAAAGGAGCCATTGAGCAGTGCCAAAGAGCTCAGTCATATAATGCTGGTATTGCTGGCAGACATAATACAACATCCTATTCCCTTTCCTCGGTCCAATGTTTTTGAATAGTGTTTATTTTGGTCATTGAACCTCTTGGTGAAATCTTGCACCCAGCACAAACCTGAATGTATATAATTTAATAGGTGTGTGTGATTTTTATATGCACCAATTAGCATCCAGTAGAGCATTGCAGCAAAAGTCCTTGGATTTCAGAATTGTTTTTGTTTTTTTTTAAATGTTGATTTTCGACTTGGTTGGTATTTTCGAAGATGAAATACACGGTATCTGCTAGAGCTCAAACTCTCAAATTTCACAGCATCTTATGGGATATGGATGTTGCACGGAGGCTGCTATTTAAGATAAACAAAACCTATATCTCATATATTGTAATTCCCCTTTCGCCTCTTATGAGTGCCTCAGAGTTATTTAATCGGACAGAACGATAGGCAGCTATTGTTTTTTTCCCTTCCTGTTTTAATGTGAAAATATTACGTCCTGTCATTTTTCTAGTGTTTCCCTCGGAATGGATTGCTAAGAATAATAAACTAATATTGAAACTGTAAGCGGTGATGGATTGCTTCAAGTCTGCACGGTGCTTAGTTTCAGGAAAAATGAGTCATTAGCAAAAGAGGAATTGCCCCATCGTTTTCACGCTTTCTGTTGTGTTCACGGTTACTTCAGTACCTTCTCAACCTTTTACATGTCTCTGCTTATAGAGGTAGTTCTCAACTTACAACAATTCGTTTAGGGACCATTCAAAGTTACCCTGAAAAAAGTATGACCATTTTTCACACTTATGACCGTTGCAGCGTCCCCATGGTCACGTGATCAAAATTCAGACGCTGGGCAACTGACTAGTACTTATGACGGTTGCAGTGTCCCGGGGTCACGTGATCCTTTTTGGCGAATCTCTGACAAGCAAAGTCAATGGGGAAGCCACTTCACAACCTTGTTACTAACTTAATAACTGCTGTGATTCACTTAACAAATGTGACAAGAAAGGTCATAAAATGGGACAAAAGTCATTTAACAAATGTCTCCCTTGGCGACAGAAATTTTGGGGTCAATTGTGGTCGTAAGTTCAAGGACTACCTGTAATAAAATAATAGAACTTTTCATTTGTTCTAAAACTTTGGTCGGTAGCCCAAATGTTGGAATTTGGTTTCCGGATCATGTTTGAAAAAAAAATAAATGTAAAGTTAACCCAGAGGAATATAAGATAGAAATATGCATAGCTGAAAATGGAGCACCTATCTATATTGCTTCGGTGTCAGAAAAAACACAAAATGACAATTATTTTGCCCATCATTTGAAATCACAGCTCCCCTGGGATTGAGAACAGAACATGTTATACAAGAGCAGAGGAAAAAAAATAGCCTTCATTTTTATTCCCTCTGTATGAGTAAACCTCTAGGGAGTTTGGTATAAAAGCATTAGGGGGAAAAATGTAAGCCAAAAGAATAATTTATGAGAGAGAAGTAGCAATTTCTTTGATTCTGTTCCTCCTATTTTTAACTTCTTCCCATCATGAGCACACTGTTCATTGGCTCATGAGTCAACATTCGACATGAAGCTTTACATCCTGTTAAGTCAGAGGGTAGATAGATTTGAAACTTGATTTATTTGCAGTAAATCAGCAAAGAATTGCTTAATACTAGGAATAAAAAAAAATGTCCATTGAGGTCATTGTACTGTTGGATTTGTTTATTTTTTTAAAAAAAAAATAAAATAAAACAGCACTGGGATAATCGGGGATATGAAATTTTTATGGAAGCACTTGAATGTCTATCCATCATAGAACTTAATATTCATTACAGTAATATATACAGTATTTCTCTTTCAGAAGTTAAAATTCTCTGGCATTTTCCTTACTGTGCACATTGACTCCCCTTCACCATATGTCATTGCTGAAACTCCAGTTACTCGAAGGAAAGGAATTTTCCATGTGCAATCTTAAATTATAAAGATGCAGAGGCATAAATGATTTGTTAGAGAAGGTTGAGGTCAGTGCTTGCTTTTTTTAAAAAAAAAATTAACTCCATGATCTCAACAGGAGTAAGTTGCAAGAATATATATTTAGCGGACAGACATTAACATAAAATATTTTATAATTTAACATTTCGGAAAGCCAGCATTTGAAAGCCAAGCCTTGTTTGCTTTCTATTTGCTATTTCTAGAACTCTCCTTTGCCTCTGCAGAATTCCACAGAACTTTACTTTTCCATGTTGACTGTGCTCCATTCTTTCACTTCTAAACAATTTAGTGGGTTTTTTTTTAAAGCATCCAAGGTCAAGAAACCTCTGCAGATAAATCGTTGTACAGTCATTCTAAACTAAATATTATTTTTTTTCTGAGAAGGTCAACTTAGCTTGGTCTTCCCCATTCCGGTGTCCTAGAGTTACCTTTCAGGATTCTTGGTCAGAATGAGCTTTGGGAATTGAGACCCCCATAGAAGAGAATATTTGTAGCTCAGGGTCCAACTGTGGGGTCCTTGGTGCTCTCTGAGCTGGGTGGTTTTCTTGCAGATGTTTCATTACCAACTGGGTGGCATCATTAGCAAGCCCCATTTCCTACTAACACTGATGGTGTTACCTACTTGGGTAATGAAGCGTTTGTAAGAAAACATCCAAGCTCAGAGAGCCCCATGACCCCACAATCCTCCTACTCTTCTCTACAAACTTCACCCCCTTCTAGCACTGATGGTGTTACCTAAGTGGGTAATAAAAGGTCTGCAAGAAAACAGCCAAGCTTAGAGTGCACCAAGGACCCCATAGTCATTGTCCTCCTCCTTCGTCCTCTCTCTTCCCTCCTCCTCCTCCTCCTCCTCCTCCTCCTTCCCACTCTGTATATCCCATTCCTTCTAGCACTGATGGTGTTACCTAGTTTGGTAATAACCTGTCTGCAAGGAACCCACCAAGCTCACCACATCCATATAACTGGAAGATAATTAATTTGGGGTTGGTTCCCTAGCATCTTCCACCAGCTGAGATCTCACCCTCTTAGCCATGCTGGTTAAAAAGATCTAGGAGTTGGGAGTCTTCAAAAGCTCTGGAAGGGCTTTAGGTGGACCTCACTTCTTCTACCAACTTCCATCTCTTATCCAACTGCTGAAACATATCCTAAGCTCTTAAGATAGGCTGAGTGCCCTGACGATGTTTTCTTTCCAAACAGGAAAAGCCAATAACAATCTCCAGTGGGACGAGGACTTCATAGAATACATGCCAGCTGACCCGGTCAAGATTGCCTTTGTCCTGGTCATCCATGGCAGAGCTTCTCGCCAGCTGATGCGCATGTTTAAGGCTATATATCATCAGGATCACTTTTATTACATCCACGTTGACAAGGTAATCGATCACCAATTCTATAGCCCGCCCCCCCCCCAGCGCGTTATCTGCTTGTCCCGTGCTTCTTCTTGTTTTGCAGTCTTAAATACAGGTAGTCCTCGACTTACAACTTAATGACCGTTTGAAGTTACAACGGCCCTGACAAAAGTGACCGTTGCAGCATCTCCGTGGTCATGTGATCAAGGTTCAGCCGCTTGGCAACTGGCATGTACTTATGACGGTTGCAGTGTCCCCGGGGTCACGTGATCCCCTTTTGACGAGCCAAGTCAATGAGGAAGCCGGATTCACTTAACAAGCAATGTTACCAACCTTTAACAATCGCAGTGATTCATTTGACCACTGTGGCGGGAAAGGGGGTAAAATGGGGCAGAGCTCACTTAACAAACGTCTCACTTAACAACGGAAATGTTGGGCTCGATTGTGGTCGTAAGTCGAGGACAACCTGTATATGTTGTCATAGCTGCAGCACCCTGTTTCTTGTTTATTCCCACATGCACACGTGGCCTGGCTCAACCGTGTTTAGCATTCCTCTCGTGATTCTCTCCCAAGATAGCTGGGAAAAGAGAGGATTAAGCTCTCGATTCTCTTCCACGGCTCAGCTTTTCCGTTCTGGCTGCCTCACTGTCCCATCTCCACTTTGGAAAGCTGGGGACCACCATTATCTAGTACAGGGGTCCCCAACCCCTGGTCTGTGGACCAGTACTGGGCCACAGCATGCCAGCAACCGGGCCGCACAAACAAGCAAAGCCCCATCCATGGGATGCAGGCAGCACACAAAACCACACACCCTCCGGTCCGCAGAGAAACCTCTCTCTACGGAACCGGTCCCTGGTGCCCAAAAGGTTGAGGACCTCTGATCCAGTAACAGCCCCTTAGGCTCGTCTGCACACAGACACCATCGCCTCTCACTCAATGTTTTCTGTTCCCATAAAGCGCTCCAATTATTTACACCGGCAAGTGCTCCAGTTCGCAAGCCAGTATCCGAACGTGAGAGTCACCTCCTGGCGCATGGCCACCATCTGGGGTGGCGCTAGTCTTCTCTCCACCTACCTCCAGAGCATGCAAGACCTCTTGGAGATGAAGGACTGGCCCTGGGACTTCTTCATTAACCTCAGCGCTGCGGACTACCCTATCAGGTACAGCAGGGGTCCCCAACCCCCAGTCTGGGGACCGACACCGGTCCACGGCATACCAGAAAGTGGTTGTGCAAATAAGCGAAGCCCCATCCGTGGGATGCAGGCAGAACGCGAAACCCCGCCCCCCCTCCGGTCCACGGAAAAACCTCTCTCCACGGAACCGGTCCCTGGTGCCCAAAAGGTTGAGGGCCACTGAGGTTCAGGACCGATTGTCCGCTGACCACCTTCAAAGAATACAAGTAGTCCTTGATTTACAACCATCATTGAGTCCAAACTTTCTGTGGCTAAGCGGGGCGGGCTGTTAAGTGAGTTTTTGCTCCATTTGAATATCTTCCATTTGGGCTTAATAGAATCTGATTGCCAGCTTGCTGATGGTCTATCTTCAAGGAAAGATCATACCCCGTAATATGCAAGTCATGGGTGTTGCTTAGGACCATCATAAGATGCGTCGACGTATTAGTTATGCTCCAGAGAACAGGCTGCTTTCTGTCTGGCACAGTAATTCTGCTGGCAAGGAAGACCGCTCGTCTTGTTTGTTCTAGAGGAATTTAAACAGGACCTCACAGTGTCCTTAAGATGTGGGTCAACAAAGTTGCTTTCTTCCTTTCTGCTCCTCCTGGCCTTCTAAATGAGGAAGAGGGGAGAAAAGAAGAACAGAAGGAGGTGTTCAGCTGATGGCTCTGAGAAATCCTTCTTAGAAGCTGAAAAAATGGGGACATCCTCAAGTCCGTGGGATCAAGGCTGGCTGAACTCCAGTATGTCTATCTGAAAAAGATGCAGGAAGTCTTGGAATGAGGCTACCCATTGGGGTAGAGAAACTGGGACATCGGACAGTTCTCTGATTTACAAAGTAGGCAATCTCTGGTCCTTCTGGTGCTACTGAATTATATTCCCCATACCTGTAAAAAGATGCCAGATGTGAAAGATCACATGTGAAGGTCCTGCTGCTACCCATCCCTACACAACTAACTCCAAGCAGTTTAACAGCTGCTTGGAGTTAGATAAGAGTCCATGGAATTCAAGAGAGATTGGATATAGCTCACCACATAGGGATTCCAGGCTGGTCTCTCTTTTGACTCCACCCTCAGGTTCTGCCACTCCTTCTCCTACAAAAGCATGGCTAATGAGAAGGAATGCTCAGGAATATAATTCAGGAATATCTAGAGGTCCACAGGTTGTCTAACTGTGGTTTAAAATCTGAGAGTCATGGCTCTCACCAGTAGCCCTTCTAATTTCACTGGACCCAGATACCTTCCTTGCCATTCCCATAGGGAGAAGGTCTTCTCCTTGAACCCCTAAAGAGAGTTGGTGCTGGATTATAGTGCTGGATTATACCCACCCATCATCTTGAACTCAACTGGGAATATTGATTGTTCCAGTTTGGATACTCTTGGTATTTTAGGGACTATGCATTGAAGGACACATCAACTTTTGCTATAGATTGGGCAATCTTTGGAGGTGCAGATGGCTTTCATTCAAGAGTTTGAGAAAAGTTCCGGTAAATGGGGGAATGGCACGAAAGAGGCAGAGCTATGGGAAATACATGACTGGAATCCAGATCAAAGGATCAAAGGATTTGAGAAAGTTTGGGACGTTGGCATTATTTAATGATATAAAATCTCTTTAGAAGTTAAACTGGGGTTTTCATATGTTCATCCGCCTCAAAATGTTGGCTTGCTGTACCACTGACTTGCCCCAATGGGAATTGGGGGATATTCCAAAAGTTGCAAAAAAAAAAGGGGGGGGGGGACTTCAAGGGCCACAAGCAACCTGGAGTTTAGGATGCTCATCCTTTGATAACCCCCAGCAATGGTTCCCTAGCAACCTCTCTGGTCTCCTAGCAACAGGTTTGCCGAGACATACGGCCTCTTATCCTGGATCTTCTACGGTTCTGTCAGCAGTGATTGAATGGATTGTGCAGATGACTCAGCTGGCGTCATCAAATGTTGATGTCGGGCCTTGTTTTTCTTTTTAATTCTAAACCATTGTATCTTGTCGGCATGCAAGAAAAACAAAAGGCAAATAAAGCAAAGCAATCCAACCCAAAATACAAGGGGAAATCAAGAACATCATAAAGCCCATTTGTTTATTTATTTCACTGATCTGTCGCCAATAACATATAGCTCCTGGTAACGTGTCTCCATTAAGCACCCATCGAAAACAGCACACTGTTAAAACCACACTGTCCAAAGCAAGAGTCAAGGAAGACTTAAACCAAAGTTGGTAGGGCTAACCCAGCAGTAGGCAACCTCGGCTCTTTTTTATTATTATTATTATTATTATTATTATTATTATTATTATTATTATTATTATTATTATTATTATTATTATTATTATTATTATTATTTATTAAATTTATATCCCGCCCTTCTCCTTGCGGACTCAGGGCGGCTGACAATCTATTAAAAATACACAAATGGCAATTACAAGATTAAAATTAATTAAAAGGAAATATTTAAATATAGTCTAATTAAAATATAATTAAAACCCCTCTAAAAATTGCCCTAGGCCAGTCCTGCAAGCTGGAATAACCAAGTCTTAAGGGCGCGGCGGAAGGAAGGGAGATCAGGGATCACCCTGATCTCTGGGGGCAGTTCATTCCAGAGGGTGGGAGCTCCCACGGAGAAGGCCCTCCCCCTTGGGGTCGCCAGCCGGCACTGTCTGGCCGACGGCACCCTGAGGAGACCCACTCTGTGGGAGCGTACAGGTCGATGGGAGGTAATCTGCGGCAGGAGGCGGTCTCGAAGGTATCCGGGTCCGATGCCATGGAGCGCTTTGAAGATGATAGTCAACACCTTTTATGACTCATGGACTTCAACTC